CTTTACTCCTGCATCATCAGTTCCTCTCTGTAGCAGCAGCTAGATCTTGCCTGCCATTTTTCTAACACTTTACAGAAGCAGCCTCATTGTGACTCTCACAGTTACCAGCACTAGCCAGCCCCTGTCCTCATAAATGAAGTTTCAGCTCCTCTAAGTTCCAAAATTCCAATAATTCCAACTTCTTCATTTTGTGCCTCCCCTCTCTACCACCCCCAGGGGTAGTATCTACTCCATCCAGTTGCTACCTCTAAGATACACTTAGAATTCTCTTTTTGCCCTTTCAGTTACCTAGTTTACTATTTTATACCTAGTCAACAGTTCTTCATATCAGGTTCTTTCTGTTAAAATAACTCAGTGCCTCATTTTCATGCTCATTGCTTCATAGTCACCTCTAGCATTGAGCCCACTTTCCATGCAGCCAGGAGGGGACAAGAAAAGGGGAAATGGCACTTGTCAGTTGATCTGCCCCTTGGGAAGAGCTTTCTACTGGGATGACCAACTGTCCCTGTTTGTCTGGGTCTGAGGCAGAGGAGTTCTCCAGGATGCAGGGCTTTCATTGCTGAAACCAAGAAAGTCTGGACAAACTGAGATGAGTTGCTCACCCTAAACTATGTGACTTCTGCTTAAGCACATTCACTGTCATGTCTCTGGTCGCCTCACCTCTGGCTTCAAGGAAGGCTGGGATATGTAGGTTTTTAGCTGGGCTCATTATTACCCCTGGCAAAATCAGAGTTGTATTCATTAGGAAGGCAGAATGGGTACTGGGGAGGCAGCTAAAAGGTTCTGCCCTTTTAACTCCAGACTGTGATCATTAACCACCCGCAACATGGCCTGAGATCACACGGCTGTCATCAGAGCTGTGAGCAGAAGCCAGGTCTTCTGATGGTGGCCCCCACAGGGCACACTGCCTATTTTCCTCATTGGAATAATGATTCATTTCTGGCAGCGTAGAGAGAGAATCATTTCCATCTTTTAGCATTTTCAATCTTCAATGACTAATTATATTTTGTAGGTCAGATGTTTATGCAGTAAAGCTTCCTCCCATGTATTGGATAGTTACTGAGTGAAAGTGGTCGCCGAATGGAACCATGGCCATTGTATATATGCTCCATTTTTCTTTCTGTGTTTGCAGTCAAGCTTGGCTCTTTCCAGTTGGGAATCTGGATTGTAAGTTCTTAGTTTTGAAAGGGGCTCAGGAATCCCGTGTCCTGTACTTTCCTTTTATTTTGTATTTACTGGTACTTTTCTCAGACATGAGTTATAGTTTTATCCTAGATGTCTTTTTTTTTGAGACAGAGTCTCCCTTTGTTGCCCAGGCTAGAATAAGTGCCATGGTGTCAGCCTAGCCCACAGCAACCTCAAGCTCCTGAGCTCAAGCGATCCTTCTGCCTCAGCCTCCTAATTAGCTGGGACTATAGGCATGCGCCACCATGCCCAGCCCAGCTAATTTTTTATATGTATATTAGTTGGCCAATTAATTTCTTTCTATTTATAGTAAAGATGGGGTCTCGCTCTTGCTCAGGTTGGTTTCGAACTCCTGAACTCAAACGATCCACCCGCCTTGGCCTCCCAGAGAGCTAGGATTACAGGCGTAAGCCACCGCGCCTGGCCTATCCTAGATGTCTTTATTCTAGGCATCCTTTGGTACCTGCAATTACTCTTACTGACTTGGTAAGGAAATGCTTGCTTGGGAGGATTTAAAATCCAATAAATGCATATGCCGGCTCACTTTCATTTCAACAGCTAGCTGTTTTTGCTTTATGGCATTAATATACATAAGAAGAGGGAGGCAAAATTATATCATAGATTTTTTTTTCTAACTTAAACTTTATAAGATTCTCTTAGCCAGCTTGGTGTTTTCCTTTGAAGCATTCATAGGATAAACGGTACAGGGAAAATACGATCAGTAGATGTTAGACAGCGAGGGCTGCTGGACCTGGCGTGCTTCATATGAATTTTGTGCCCTGCCATACATGGTCACCAGAGGCTGCATTTCTGCAAGGTACACACAAAACAGGAGGCTGCATCTCATCTGCTTTCGATTACCGCCTCGCTGAGTGGGTTCGGTACAACCACGCTTCTTATACACGGCCGAGTGTCGGGCTGGAAGCCAGGGCTTCTCAAATTCCATTTCCTTCTCTAGGAGACGAATTTCTTCATAGATGTGGGAAGCTACATTTGCTTTTTCCTCTGCTCCCACTTCAAAACGGGAATATGTTAACATATATTTAGAGAGAGCAGCAAGCATTTCCTACATCCAGCATGTGATTCACTAACATCCAATTTTATTTTCTCTCCTTGTCTCCATTTAATTCCTTCTTCCCTGGTCAGAGCTCTGAAAATTTCTAATTAAACTCCTACGCTTTAATTTTTTTTTCATTTAAGCTTTGATTATAATTTTAGGTTGGACCATATGAAAGTAATGATAATTAACCATATTTGACCATTTTTGAACAGCAGTTGCATGTGATTCTACGTAATACTAAGTTGCACATACAGAGATCTTGCTTACGTGCAGGACAGTGCACCAAGCTCTTACACACATGACCCTCAGTTAGTCTGGAGCTTTACATGAAGTGGGGAAACTGAGGCACGCAGAGAGATTAAGCAGCTTGTGCAGGGCGGTGCAGTTAGTAAGTGCTGGAGCCTCAGTTAGAACCCAAGGGCCTGGCTGCAGAGTCTGTCCATGCACTCAATGACACCAGCATGCCACCAGCTCTCCCAGCCTCAGGGACAGAAACATGTTATCATCTGCGTGGATTATAAAGCATTTTGTAGAAAAGTACTGGGCAAAAGCTTTTTGCTTGTGTATAATATTTTAGTAATTTGCCCTTCAATTAATAGCTTGCATCAGTTTGCAAAGATCAGGGGGTAGGAAGAGCTGCAGTGAGCTTTGGCATCAAACCTGCCTGACGCCAAGCCCAGGCTCTGCCGTTTGCAAGAGCAGCACGGCCCTCAGCCCAGTTACTTCACCTCTTCCAGTCTTGGTTTCACTTTTCTGCTCTGTAAGATGAGGCTAGTAAAAATGCCTCTCCCAGGCTGCCTAGCACAGCGCCTGGCACACAGTAAGTGCTCCATAAATGTTAATTAAAATAAATTATGACACAGCAAATTGCAAAGAAAGTGCTGGGGATTAGTAATGGGGAGGTCTGCTTCTGTGACTAGTCTGGTTGGTTTTTTTTTCACTAGCAGCCTCTGTGACCTTGGACAAGTTGCTTGAAGTGTAGGTATCTGTCTTCTTGGGTATAGAAGCAGCAATGACAGGGGTCTGTCCAGGCATGTCACAGGATGGGGTAAGCATGGGAAGTGACTAGGGTGTTGTGGAAAGGACTCGGACTTGCAGGAGTGGGAGTCTCGGGCTCCAGGCCCCCTTCAGCAGCTTGGGCGCCATGAGGCTTGGGCACATCACCCATTTGACTCTCAGCCACATGGCTGTAAACTGGGAAGGATCATGATCTCTTTCTGTTTTGGCATCTGTGAGCAAATCAGACTTTAAAAACAAAACAAAACTTTGAAAGCAGTAAGGTGTTATTTTAAGACATGAAGAAATACTTCATAAAATGTATCTAGCAGGATATTTCCTGATATATAAATTTGAATTTTGTTCTCTCTTCTGTTTATTTCTGGAAGTAGCCATGCCCTCATCTGGCACAGGCTGGGTTGCCGAGCTGAAAGCGGAAGTGTTCAGTGAGGGGCTTATACTAGGACCTCTCAGAAGGGAAAAAAAGGGGGGCACATTCCCAGGGAAGGTGGCTCCCAGCCCCAGAGGGCGGGTCGCAAGCCAAGGTCCGGCCAGCGCGGTGGCTCACACCTGTAATCCTGGCACTCTGGAAGGCCGAGGCAGGAGTATCACTTGAGCTCAGGAATTAGAGACCTGCCTGAGTGAGAGTGAGACCACAGCTCTACTAAAAACAAAAAAATTAACCAGGCATCATGGTGTACCCCTATAGTTCCAGCTACTCAGGAGGCTGAGGCAGGAGGATCACTTGAGCCCAGGAGTTTGAGGTTGCTGTCGTCTGAGATGAGGTCACTGTACTCTAGCCTGGGTGACATAGTAAGACTGTTTTAAAACAACAACAACAAAAAACAAGCCAGGATCAGGGAAGAATCCAGATGATAGGGTGTTGTGATCAACAGGGACCTGCATCCTGCTCCCTTTGAAGAACTGTCAGAGGGGGAGAGCTGCAGAGGGGATGGCTGGGCCTCAGAAACTAGACTTCCCAGCCTTGCCCAGAGATTCCTGCACCCGAGCTTAGCCATGCAGCTGGGGGATGCTGAGCCTCAGGGAGCCATTCAGTCTCAGACAGTGGGCGTATCAGCAGAGATCAGTACAGGCCAGAGGCCCCGCCCGGCCTGCTCATTCTAGACAGGAGACATTGCCTTTGCAGAAGTTGGAATGGAGGGAGAGGAAACCCAGTAATGACCAAAACTGAACTTCATGCTACTTCTGCACTCAAAGAATTATTGTGAGTTTTTGAAGAAAGTGTGAGATTTCCTGCACCCCATATAATGGCTGCAAATTCATACTCGTCCAGCCATTCAATAAATAGTTTCCAAGCACCTACCATGTGCCAAATTCTGTTACAGGTGCTCAGGGTACCCCAGCAAACCAAAGCAAGTACCTACCCTCCTGGGGCTTATATACTAATGACTTCTTTGCACATTTTACATTTATAAATTACTGTAAAAATAGAGAAAATTGCAATTATTTAACTCTTACTGGGAAGTCAGGACTTCGAATAAATAGTATAGTTTCAGGTAAGCAGGGAACTCCATGGTAAAGGCTGATGGATAAATATTAATAAATAAAAAATGCAAGTCTGCTATTGTTCAGTGCCCTTCCTCACTGCAGAGCTCTCCAAGGCAGAGTGGATGCCGTGAAGAGTGAATAGAAGAAAGATATCGAAATAGAACCCTGAGGAAAAAATAACCTTTGGAAAAAATACTTGGTTCAAAGAACATGAAGCTGTCCAAGCCAGGTTTGCAATAAGCAAACTCAGGACTAAACAGCCCCTTATTGGGGAGGTCTCTTTTTAGACCTCCAAGGTAAGCCGGCGGAACGTGGCCTCCTGGGCGAGAGGCAGGTGCGTGGGGTGGGAAGCCAGCGTCTTCCGAGAGCGTACACAGGTGCCACTGCCGTTCTCGTACAGATCAAACTCTTGGCTGTTTGTCACTTCATGGTAAGAGGATGAAGCATGCAGGAGGGCCTCTTGAGCTGCAGTAAAAGGCTGCTTCCCATGAATCCACGTAAAACGAGAACCAAAAGTTTTGAATTTTGTGAGTATTGTAAATATATATATATATATATATATATATATATACATATATATATTTCAGTCTTTACCTGGAAAGATGATCAACATAAGTTGGTTTAACTTATTCTTAACTGAATTTTATCATACAAAATTTTAGCTAACTTTTTTAACACTCTGAGATACAATTCACATACCATAGAAATCACCCATTTTGGGTGTGCAAGTCAATGGCTTTCAGTCTATTCACAGAATTGTGCATCCACCACTACCATTAATTTTAGAACATTTTCATTACAATAAAAAGAAATGCCATACCCCTTAGCCATCACCCCCCCCCCCTTAAACCTCATCCCATCCAGCCCTAAGCAACAATAACTCTACTTTCTGTCTCTATGGATTTGCCTGTTATGGACATTTCATATAATTGAACCATACAATATGTGGTCGTTTGTGACTGGTGTCTTCCACTTAGCACAATGTTTCGAAGTTCATTCATGTTGTAGCATGCATCAGTACTTGGTTCCTTTTTATTGCCACATAATATTCCATCGTACTTTGCTTATCCATTCATCAGTCAATGCACCTGGGGTTGCTTCCACACTTTGGCTATTGTGAGTTAGGGCTGCTACGAACAGTCACATACAGGTTTCTATGTGGATGTATGTTTTCATTTCTCCTGAATAGATACCTAGGAGTGAAATGTGTGCAAATTCTTAGAATGAAAAAAAAAAAAAAGAATAAGTTAACTGTGGGGTTTTGGTTTGTTTATGCAAAGTTCGGTTGTGTTTTGGGGGGCAGGGCTTGGTAGAGACCTGGGAAGGAAGCTAATGTTGTGTATGGTTGTTTAGGGACGATCTTTACGTTACAATAACATTTCTTTTCCTTCACAGCTGCACAACATCAGGGCTTGGATGTTGAATATTTGCTGAGGCCCCTACAGTGTTGCAATTAAAAGTCGCCTTCTTTGACTTGGAATTGAAAGTCTGACTTTACAAGTTATTTCATCAGATCCCAAAGAAACTAACTGCCATTTCTATCACTGAAGTCTCAATAAACATCACTGTGCAATGGCCTAGCGACCAGTGGGAGGAGTGTCTGTCCCACGAATTCCTACCACATCCAGAATAAAGAAGTGGGAATATGGTCGAAATTTTCCTTTGTTTCTCCCAGAAAAAAAAAAAAAAAAGGTAGTTTCCACTGAGCAGTTAGCTTGTTTTTGTCTTATGGACAGTGAATCGTGTAACCAACCATGTTTCCTTCTTTGTTTTGGCTGTTAGGTAGCTCACAACTAATTGGGATCCATCTCGATCAACTCCATTAAACTCTAAGGTTTGTATTTTGTGCACTGACTGTATCCTTGGCTTAATCCTTTTTTTTTTTTTGGCCACTGTTTTCCTGTTTTTCAGTTTCCTCATTTAATAATCAATTTTTATTTTATTTTGATATATATATGTACACATATATATGCGTAAGCTATCAGAAATACCTTTTTAAAATATATTAATATTACTTACCCCGACGTGTTAAAAAAAGAAAAAAAAAATAAAATATATTAATAGTTCAGATGAACTTAGACACCATGATGCAATCAGCAAAAGTCAGACTGTGGGAAATTCTAATGAACAAATGACCCAGTTTCTTAAATACATCGAAAGGGGAAGAAAAGGAAGTGGAGGGGAAACATAGACGAAAAGAGATTACAAGAACCCTCCTGTGTTGTGGTTGGGAATGTCAAATCCTGCAGCCACTTGGGGGAAACAGTCTGGTAACTTCTCCAAAAGTTAAACATATACTTAGTATGTAACCCAGCGATTCCACCCCTAGGAATCTACTCGAAAGAAATGAAAACATATGTCAAAGACTAGTCTGTGACTGTTCATACCAGCAGCATTATTCATAAAACCAAACACTGGAAACATTCCTATGTCTGTCAACCATTTTTTTTTAAATGGTAGCATATTTATGCAATAAAGGATTAATAGCAATAAAAAGGACAAGGGGCTGATACATGCAACAACATAGATGAACCCCCAAACCTTGCACTTAGTGAAAGAAGCCAGACACACGAGGCCGTGTGTTGTAGGACGCTGTGTGTGTGAAGCTGGCAGAGGAGGTGAATTGAGCCAGGGGAAGGCGGATGAGTAGTTGCTTGAGGCTGAGGGCTGGAGCGAGAATTGGCTGCAAATGAAAAGGAGGGAACTTTTGGAGGTGATAGAGATTGCGGCTTATGATGATGATTGGACAACTATATCAATCTGCTAACAACCATCAAACTGGCAGCATAGGAATTTTTTAAAAAATCAAATTGTTTTAAGAAAACAAACATCTAAACACTGGCGAAAAATCTGATAATATTAAGGTATTATTGTATTAGGATCCTTTTAGGGATAATAATGGTATAGTGGTTATGTTTTTCTAAAACAAACTCTTTTGTTTTAGACACACACACTGAAGTCTATGAAATGATACAATGCCCGAGAGTTGCTTCAAAATAATACAGAAGGGTCCAGGTAGTGACAGCTGAAACAAAAGTGACCATGAATGGATTGTTGTTTGGCTGGTGGGGACATGGGAGGTTGTTTTGCTGGTGTGTCTTCTATTGTGTATGTTTTAAATGTTTCCATAATTAAAAGGTTTAAAAACTAAACTTCAGTCTGTAAGAGATGAAACAGTGACCTAATGGATGTGGCTGGAATGAGGCAGTGGACATCTACTGTTTTCGACTGCTCTGCACGCCCTTCCCCTCTGCTCTCAGCAGCCAGACTTCGCTCCAAGGAGCAGCCAGCCCTCTGCACACAGCCTGCAAGGGTCTGCCTGCCCCTTTGGCCCCGGCCTGGGCACAGAACCTCTGCAAAGCCCATCGGCCTCCCTCCCCTGGGGAGTCTAATCTTGTGCAGAATGATGCAAGAAGGGGAAAAGCGCAGAGCTGATTAATCCCGGTGGGGCCACCCCGAGACACTGGCCTTAGGTTTTTGCTGCTAAATCCACACAGCAGCCCTTTCTGAAGCCTGGATCTTGGCTTCAGTTATGGGAACCACCTCATATCAGGCCAATAAATTCCCTTTTTGTTTAAGTTGGCCAGAGCTGGTTTCTGTGGCTCCAAACCAAAGCACCCTATGGCAGAGCGTCTGCAGGGCAGCAACGGTTCTGCGTGCTCCTTTCCCCACCTCCCTTCGGCTGCGACAGCTCCACACTCGGAACCCCTTGGACATTATTTTATTTTAATTTTTTATCTATTTATTTTTGAGACAGAGTCTCCCTCTGTTGCCAGGGCTAGAGTGCCATGGCGTCAGCCTAGCTCACAGCAACCTCCAACTCCTAGGCTCAAGCCTCCCCAGTAGCTGGGACTACAGGCATGTGCCACCACACCTGGCTAATTTTTTTTTTTTTCTATTTTAGTTGCCAGGCTAGTTTCTATTTTTAGTAGAGATGGGGTCTTACTGTTGCTCAGGCTGTTCTTGAACTCCTGACCTCAAGGATCCTCCCGCCTCGGCCTCCCTGAGTGCTAGGATTACAGGCGTGAGCCACCACACCCGGCCACCCTTCCAACATTTATTAATAAAACTTTACACAAGTCCTGAGTCGGGTGTGGTAGTGCCGGCCTGTAGTCCCAGCTACTCAGGAGGCTGAGGCAGGAGGATCCCTTGAACCCAAGAGTTTGAGGCCAGCCTGGGCAACATAGACTCTATCTCTTAAAAAAACAAAAGGAAAGAAAGAAAAAATTACACAAATCGATTTGATAGCTAAAAGAGGAAGCAATACAGATAGTACAAAGACAATTGATATTTATGAGTCCATGCTCTGCTAAAACACCAATTCAAAGCATTGTCATTAAGACAGAAATATCTATTGGGACCAAAAAGGTTTCATTGTTCTATAACAGCACTAAATATAGTGTGAGCCACAGATATAATTTCAAATTTTCTAGTATCAGCATTAAAATGGTAAAGAGAAACAGGTAAAATTAATTTTAATAATATATTTTATTTAACCCAATATGTCCAAATTATCACAGTCAACATAAAAATTATTTTATTTTATGAAATTTTTTAGAGACAGGGTCTCACTCTGTCACCCAGGCTGGAGTACAGTGGTGTCATCATAACTCACTGCAGCCTCAATCTCCTGGGCTCAAGCAATCCTCCTGTGTCAATCTCCCAAATAGTTGAAACTAGAGGCATAAGCCACCATGCATGGCTACTTTTTAAAAATTTTTATAGAGATGGAGTCTCGCTATCTTGCCCAGGCTGGTCTTGAACTCCTAGCCTCAAGCGATCCTCCCATATCACTCTCCCAAAGTGCTGGGATTACAGGCATGAGCCACCTCACCCAGCCCCAGTATAAAACATATTCATGGAATTTTCCATTATTTTCTTTTTAACCAAGTCTTCAAAATCCAGAGTCTGGTATATGTCACACTTATGGCACATCTCAGTTGGGATCAGCCACATTCCAAGTGCTCAATAGCTACATGTGGCCAGTGGCTAAAGTATTAAAAACTCAGGTCTGTAAACTCTCCCTCGGGCCTTCCTGCATGTATTCTCCTGGAGTATGAAGCCTTCGGGTGGCCACCATACCTGTCCCACTGCACCCTCAGGGTTCTACCTAAGGGCTTCTGCAAGGTCACGGCTGTGTGGCTCATCCTTCCTTGGCAGTTTTTGTCTGCAGTGGGGACTTCTACACTGTGATGACCAGGCACAAGGAATGGCTAACCCCACGCTGACCACCGAAGGACAGGGAGCCTGGCATGCTCCATTCACCAGTGACAAAGGCCACTAATGGACCCGGCAGACGTCTCTCTAGAAGAGCTGGCACTTAAGATATTAAAGAATGGAGCTGTTGGTGGTGGAAGCAGAAGCTTAAAAACCTTCAAAGAGCAGCAGAGTTTTGAATTGCCATCTGCAGGTACTGACTTCCAGTCTCCAGGCCGGCATGGAAGGAGCTTAGAACTCAGCATTCCATCTGCCCAAGACAGAAGAGCTGAATGAACTGTGAAAACCAAGTGAGGTCACAGAGCAAACCACTGCCCCCAAATTGGAGAGACAGACAGATACAGAGAATCACAACATCTCAGAGAAGAATCCAGGAAAAAAGCCCCACAAGAACCATTACCAGGCCAGGAAAACCTAACCCAGGCCCGGTGTGGTCACTCATGCCTGTAATTCTAGCCCTTTGGGAGGCCAAGACGGGAGGATTGTTTTGAGACCAGGAGTTTTAGACCAGCCTTGGTAACACAGCAAGACCCTCATATCTACAACATTTTTTTAAAAAAATTAGCCAGGTATAGTGGCATGCACCTGTAGTCCTAGGTACTTGGGAGGCTGAGACAGCAGGATTGCTTGAGCCAGAGAGTTTGAGGCTGCAGTGAGCTACGACACACCACTGCACTCTAGCCTGGACATCAGAGTAAGATCCTGACCTTCTCTCCAAAAAAAAAGAGGGAGGGGGACAGAAAAACCTCACCTTTAATAGAAGCAAGGAAGAGACAGGTCTGAGAGGTAGAAACTCCGGGGAGACCCAGTCCTACAGGTGCCCCCATACTTTTCTTTTGTGAGTTTTGCCTCTAGAAACCCTGCCAGATTGTCACAGTAAAGATCAGAGAAAAACAAAACAAAACTCTCAAGCTTCAGCAGGGAAAGGGAGACAGACATCTCAAAGTACACCAGGGCATTCAGTTGTCCGTTGTGGGGCCTGCCCTCCAGGGAAGCTGTCTTACTAGAGCCCAGCAGACTGGGGTTTAGCAGAGACTGAGCAATTGCTCATCTTCCTCTCATACCTTAATTTCCTCATTTATAAAATTGGAGTAATAGCCATACTGGTCTCCCAAGGTCGTTGGTTATGAGGATGAGATGATTCATGCTCATGAAATGCCCTGAGTGGTGGCTGGCACACAGCACATGCTGGGTACACACGTATGGGTACATGTCGACATTCCTATTATGGTCACCCCCTGCCGCTAGACAAGGGGGACACGCATATACTGGCACATCTTCGGAGCCTGGTGACTTTCCTGTCCCTAGATTGCATCTAGTCCCAGGATTCCCAGCTGAGCAGCTTTCCAGGGGTTGCTGTGGAGCTGGTATTTGGGTTAAGATTCTTGCTTTCCTCATTTCCAAGTCTGTTCTTCCAGAACAGGCTTCATTTCTTGAGGTGACAGGAGTGAGTTTCTGAGAGTCTCACAGCCCCACTGACATCATCTCTTTGAATCCTCACTTAATGGTAGAGGAAAATGAGGCCCAGAGAGGCCAATGACTTGTCCAAGGTCACACAGCTGGTTAATGGTGAAGCTGGCCCCAAACTCTGTGCCCTTTCCTCTGCACCATGA